TGCTTTTTTTCCTACTGTATTTGAACAATTTATCTTATTATTAATATTTATGTATATTATAAATCTATTTATTTTTTACTGATTTAAAATAAATTTAATTAATTTATTGTATTTCAATCTTTATTAAAGTTTAAGTATTGTTTTCTATTTGTGAAATATTATTACCATTGCTGCAATAATTGGTTTTATAATTATATATATTTTTTAAATATTATTTATAGGTTAAGAAACATTAGCGCTAGTCATATGTATATATACTGAAGTCAGTTTGTTTACTTAATAGCAGTAAATATTAGCTATAGTACCAATGTATATATATACTTGATGAAGCATCACAATTGTCTAACAGTTAGTACTAGAAATAGGTAAATTTTAGCGCTAGTACAATGTACATAGAGTGTATAACTCGGTAAAAAGAAATCAGATTTTTCTAATGTTGATACTTGAAATTCATAAATATTAGTGCTAGTAACAATGTATATACAAGTGAGCATCAGAATACCCTACTAGATAGTACCAGACTTTACTAGATTTTATACTAGGCGATAAGTACTATAATAGTATGTGTATATATACGTGACAGCATATATGCCTACTAGGTAGAGAAGATTAATTAATTTTAGTACTACTATAGTATATTATAACTATAGTATTTGTAAATATAAACGACAAATGTGCCAAATATCACATTAAGATTCATAGATAGTTCTAGTAATTAAAATTGTATGTATAAATATACGCGACAGTCCGACAAACAATAATAATTTTAGTTAGATATTTAAGATTGATAAATTTTATTGCAGATTATATAATTATATTATATATATAATATATAATATAATATAGTAAATAACGTATAATTAAGGAAATTAAATTTCCATAAGATGACTTACATGCAACAGTCATATTATGGTTTTTTTTTAATTATATAGGTGTAGATTATGTAAGAGAAACATTTCGGAAAAAAATTCTTCGGTTATTATTGTGAAATTTTTTTTTTATTATAAACTAACTTCTGCCCACGTCTATGTTCCCGTTACATGGAAAATATTGATTACTGGAATAAACAGTAGTTTAACTCTAATCTAAAAATTATGTCTATGCTTAATTTTATTGGTTGTACGAGCCGTCTATGCGCAATAAAATCAATAAACTATTCCTTCTTTTTTAACTTCAAGAAGAAAGACATCAGTTTTCTTTCTTCTTGATTTTATTTTATTCTTCTTTTTTGGCCGTTGCAGAATCAAACTAACTCACGAATTATTCATAGAAATAGTTTGAATAGTTTTGAATGTATGCAAACATTTATTTATGAAGATACATCATATTACTTAATAAATGTAGTAGGTATTAAATATACTCGTATGATATAATTGTGTTTCACCTCAGCCTATCGTATATCAAAATTTGAGTTACGGTTAATTTTCCTAAGCGTTTCTCTTACAGTCTTATTTTAATGTAGGTATTATTTAGTGATAGTAAAGAGTTAGTCGTAAAGGGTATACCAAGTCAAAAGTTATTATAAATATTCATAAAACATCCATATATCACCAAGAAAACAAAGTGGAAGGAAGAAAATAAATTTTGAACATTTTATACTAAACTGATCCAATGACCGCCCAAGGGTTGAGATTTTATAAATTATTTTCAGTTTGCCACTTTGCTTCTTTGTGAACGTTTGTTCAGCTACCTAAAGTATTAATGTTTTTTAGCCATTGGACTTATTCTTTACCCGCCTATTCTTACGGTATACCCCACCTGTGGAGGATGATGGGATGAGGATGAATTCAGATCAATTAGCAGATCATGGCGAATTCACGACTAATTTTCACAATCCAGAAGAACTAGGTGAACGACATATTGTTATCAATGTCCTTATTACTTACTCCATCCCACCAATTACACCTATTATTCATCAGCCTATTCTTATGGTACACCCCACTTGTGGAGGATGATAGGATAAAGATGGATTCAGATCAATTAGCCGATCATGGCGAAATCACGAGGAATTTATTACAATCCAGAAGAACTAGATTATCTTATTAGTTACCAAAGGCTTTAGGTTGATATACACTTTATGACTAATCCTATATATGAATGTACCGATGGTATATTTCATTAGTTATAGTACATTAACGATTTGGGATCCGGCCTATTAAAAACGTTTATTCATGGTCCCATTTGGCACTTAGTCGGGCTGGTTTGTTGGCACCTCGAATATTACTTCTAACATAGAGGACACTATCTCTACACGATATATCGGCCCAATCTATCGAGTCAAACGGTATCGTGGATAGATTGTTTTAGACATCATGCGTCTTAGTATGGTTCGGATGACAATTGACATTTTACAAATTTCCTGCACTGCAAACAAACTGTATTTTGATTTGTTACACTTAAATTTGTTTCTACGTATGACCATACTTTAACAATTATTACTTTATATTGCAAATTTAATTATAACTCAATTTCACATTTATAACATTGGAAGGAATGGAACAACTCATATTGTATAATTTATCTGCAACCAATTGTTTCGCTGAATACAGTTTCTCGTTATTTTTGTTATTAATACATTTGTCAACCGCACCATGTTATAATGTCTGGAGTTGAAATAGGTTCGAATCCTGGGTTTTGTATCCATGAAAATTGATAACAATGTATGTAAAAGTGTAGATCTGATTACTCATATGATAATATGTCATAGTTTGAGAATCAGTATTTAATATTAATATAGAATAGTCGATATTTATAAGATAAAAATTAAATTGTCATTATCTTTTAGTTTTTAGTATTTGTTTTTTAATTTATCTTTAGCGATATTTGCATATTTATGTTAAAGGATATTGTTTACTATAAAAACCTGAGGACAGAAAGCATATGATACATTATATGTTTATAAAATATATGATTTTGTTCCCTAAGTTTGTTTATGAAATAAAATATCATAAATGTTTAAAAGGTGAATGAACACCGCTTTAACATTTCCATTGTTGTACCTACGTATCTGTTTAAAGTAAGTTTATAATATCAGGTTAATTTTACGAAGTGAAATGTTTTAATTTAGATATTTCTTATATAACATAACTGTTTAAACACCTGTTTGCATAATTAAGTTTAATATTACTCCATTCTCTTGTAAACGTTGTGTTTGTTTCTCTAATAAAGACGAAATAAAATCTGTGTCTGTAACAAAGTTGTTTTTTTATTATATTTTATTATACTTGCAAATAGAACGTCCTTACGGTTACTGGATTCCAATTCTGGTCATCCGACGACCTTTATGGGCCTCGAGCAATAACTCCTTACCCAAACATACTGCTCCCGCGATGGTGGACTGAAATATAAGTACCTACCTACTCAGGAAAATAGACATGATTTGCCAAATGTTAGTTCAACACCTCACATGTCTGCCGATATTTTTTTTATGGATTTGGAATTGTAAAGATTAAGACACCCCACCCAATGTTAAAAAATAACCGTCATCTACACACACTCATGCGTTGCCATTCCAGAGCACTAAGAAGTCAGCTCATCCTTAGTATGATATGTAATCTTTATAAAAATAATGATGTTCCCGCAAGGTCATGTCTTTACGTTTCTGTCATTTTTACCGCAGAACATGTGTGGTTGAACGGGTGTCATTTCATTGCATCTGCTATTATTAGGCCATTCAAATGATCATCTTTTTCATCATTTCCAACATTTATTTCTTTTCTAAATAAAATGCTACGTGTTTTTGTATAATTTATTGTAATCTATTTTATACAAATATCGTATCTAGAACTTGAACAGAGAACACTTAATTTATATGTAGGCTTTTGAAATATTTACAAAGTATTGTATATTTTACATTAAATCCAATTTCAAATGAATTTTTACCAGTTATGAATCAGTAATATGATATCGTTTTTTTGGTCGACAATTTTTGGGATGATATTCTATATAGGTACAAAAAACGTTCTAATTGGTAATATTCCTCTTTTTAAATTAAGTTGATAATATTTACAATCTTTCATTATTTTACCTACTCACATTTCACTTACATATAATTATAATATCACAAAATAATACTTATTGCCTACCTTTAATTGTATTTTTTTTTACTTACATATAAATAAGCTGACTTAAACAGACTTCTTACGGACATCTTACGACAATGAACGTTCTATAGAAATAAAGAGAGATTTACTTAACGTTTACACTTTCAACAATTAAATTGCAGTAATATTGAATTTGGAATTTTTAATTATTTACCTGTTAACAGTATCTACCTGTTTACTTATGAACAATCTAATAGACTAACATACAAATATTTACATACTTTTTACTTAAAAACATAGGTAAACATAGGTACATTGTATATAGATATTAGGTGCCTAACTATATTAATATTTAGGTACTAAATATACACAAAGTTCTTGATATTTATCTAGAATAGAATTGATATAGGTCCATATCAATTCGACATACAACATCGACTTTTGATATCTAAGATAACCATGTCTGAAGTACCGTAGGTAGTTTGAGAGGTATCAATGTAAGATTTCTAAGTAGCTATGTAAATTTACAAAACAGTTTATAGCTATGTACAAATCAATAACAGTTTCGCAAAGACGTAGATGAAGCTGTTGTTTTTACGAACAATTTTAATGCAGTTTGCATTTACTGCTTCACCGGACGATAATGGAAACGTGTAGATACCTGTATTGCCCTCCGAAGAGGGGACTCTGACACAAACTCGGCGAAAAGACTTACGAAGCGGCTAAAGACCCAACTCCTGCCTCAAGGATAAGATTAGATATAGTCTAAGGGCACCGCTAGACTAGAATCTCGGCCCGAGTCGTTGTAATTTATCCTTAAATAGGATAGGATATTAATTTTAGTCTGTAATATTCTCTAGAATTTATTACAAATTTTACTATAACTATATATTATAATATAATTATATATTTATAGTGACGATGAAGTGTAATTTAATGTAGCTATACCACATTAAATTACACTTCATCGTCACTATTCTTACACGCTGTATAGAATTCTACGACTGATCCATCTCCATCGACGCAGAATGGCGAGGGATCTTTGACAAAATCGATTTTATTGATGAACGAGATCCGAGGCTCGCGTCTGCAGGATCTGCTGCTGTGAGCTGAATCCCGACAGCTGGTCAAGTCGAAGTTCCGTGAACACCTGCGTCGTTGGCGGCAGAGCAATGTCTCTCGAAATGCTTGGCGATACCTGTAAATTGGAGAAGACTCGTAGATTTTTTTTATAATTTAGAAAAATAAATCCTACATTCAATGTAACTAAAATACTAAAAGTCGTAACAAAAAACATAGTCAGCGCTTTATGTAGATATATATTTAATATGAAATTAACCATATCATCATTATTATTATTACATAGTATAAAATAAAGTCGCTGTCTGTCCCTATGTACGAGTATGCTTAAATCTTTAAAACTATGCAACGGATTTTGAGACGGTTTTCTTAATAGATAGAGTGATTTTAATGATGAGTGATTCTAGAGGAAGGTTTTTAAACATATAATACATGTACACCCGTGCGAAGGCGGGGCGAGTAGCTTGTTCCAAATAAAACTGTACAACTACTATGTTGATATTGGGATCGCGGCCTCTTTTATTCTTCGGTTCGCGCAAGTTCTTTTCAGCACTTTTCTGTAGGGATGTGCACTGCATATGTAACACTTATCAAAGTCTAATATATAAACATTCAATGTCACAGCATTTATTATCGAACTCCTCCAATACTTTTGGTAGGTGAATAGATCGTAGGGTATTTTTTATACGCCTAGGTGACAAAGGTTGGCTGTATCCAGAATTAATTGATGTGTCAAAACAACATTTGTTAGGTCAGCTAGTTAATTCATAAATGGTGCCCAACCTATTATTCCTTTTAATTATATCTAATTAACAATAACTATTGAAATAATCTATGGTCTTAAAAATATAAAATTTTAAAACGAAAATGATTCGTATTAAAGTATAGCTATGTACGTACCTACCTAGTCATAAAATACTCATTTCCTACTCAGGTCAATCTGACCTACAGTTTACGCAAATTCAACTTTCAGAATTTACGGCAACGGAAATTAATCATGTTCGCAAAACAAAAGTTATCAAGAGGCACCAAGATAACAAAAAGCTTTGTATTCTATGAAATTATAAACAAGCAAAGTGATCCGAAGAACCTATTCATAGCGCATAATTTATAAGTCCAATTTACCAAAGTTACAATAGGTATAGCAAGTCAATATGCTTGGACATGAATAGGACTTATCTATTGATCCCTAAGGTATTTTCAATAGTAAATTTGTTCAATAGTTACTTTTTATAACTAAAAGCTAAACTCAATCGGGTAATATGAAAAGAAATAAGTATATTGAATAAAAAAAATATTCATACAATATTTTACTGTAGGAATTACAATAATATTGCTGAAAAGACAGTATTAAGTATAGTAAACTGACTGTGCCCGCGTTTTCACCCGTGAAAATTTATAGCCTATGTCTTATTCTGATGTATAAGCAATATTACTGTAAAGTTGTACCCAAATCCGTTTAGTAGTTTTTGCGAGAAAGAGTAACAGCCAATCTATCTATCCGCATCCATCCATACTCACAAACTTTCGTATTTATAATATTACTTAGTAAATTACTATGTGGTTTCATTTCATACAGGAACATTTATGTTGTTGATATTTTATATATATATATGTGCACTGATACAGTAAGTAAGGGTTCTTTTCTCGTTCTGGTCACAGATATACTAATAATGTAGGTAACCCATTGCTAACAATTTACCATGTATGCTACATTATATTTTTCATGGTATTTATGTACAATCGAAACAACTGCGAAAATATATCCAACATCGCAGATATAATCGAATTGAGAATCTCCACCTTTTGGAAGTATGTTTATAATCATTTCTTATTACCCTGTTGATTAATATTGTGTTTCATCTCTAAATTGTTTCAATTTGTAATCTATTATATTTGTAATTTCGATACAAATTAATTGCCTCGTAGTCCAATATTGATATGAAATGTTATTGAAAACAACCATGAGACTAACGAAGCTTTAAGTAATTACAATGTAACGAGAGTATAGAAATAAACTTTGTAATTAAAATACGTTTCTAGGAATACACAAACAATATCTAGTGAACGCTGTTATTATATTTATACAGTAACTATCGAGTACCAGCAACTTATTAATACTACGGTTCATTTGCTTATATTTCAGACAGAATAGTCGACCGAATCGGGTTTTGTACGAGTAAGTAAATAATATTAAATGGTCCATAGTGAGTCCACTGCAAAATTGACGAACCAACATCTTAAACGATTTTGAATGTTATTTCTGACTGTTCAAAGTGGATAAGTAATGGCAAACAAGATGATGACCAATCTGATGGAAAGAGAGGGAGTTGGGTAGGCCACATGTTCTTTAGACATGTCAGTACCAAATTGTTATCCCCTCTACGTTTGAATTCATTAAAAGTCATTCGCGCTCGCATTTTGTGATATGTATATTATATACATATTATTCCCTAATTTAATTCCCGTACGGCTTCGGTGGTCTAGCGGTTTAGCATACCACCTTACTTCCGAATGTCACGGGTTCGATTCCTCGCACAGTGCAAAACTTTGGACTCATGAATATTCTACTAACAGTATTGGTCTGAGTGTTTTCTATGTATATAACATATGTATTTATAAAAAAATGTATGTAATGTATTTATATCAGTTATATTTTAAGGTATAACCACTGTGCTTAGATTAAAAAAAGTCGACGCCGCTGCATAAAATATTTGTAATATAATAATAATAACCCCAGATAATATTTTTATAGATCTACTAGATCTTTTAGACTTTTTTTATACTGCGGCACAGCGGTTATCACCTTACCAAGGTAATGTTATATGTGATGTGATGAGGTGTCGCTACATAATTTATTGTTTATAATAATATGTGAACTAGTGAGTATACCACTGTAATAATTGTACTATTTACTGTACATTACTCAGTTTATTGGATATTGCGCTACATACCTTATTAATAACGCGTACATTCGACGCGGAGTCGTAACGTGGACTGCTTGACACTCAACTTAAATCTATTTTACCTGGAGAGGTAAAGTAAAGTTTAAGTAAAGTCTCGAGTGTTGACAGCAATATTACAAGTCTAGGCACACTACCATGTAATAATGATGTAATGTAATGTAATGTGAAGATGAGATGTTGTGTATTTTCCTAAAAGTTGATCAGACATGATGGAATCGTTGTCTTGATCTGACTGAAGTTAAATTTATCCGTCTGCGAGTTGAAAAGTACTAACACTTGTGAATAAGTAAAGGAACCCTGCTCAAAGCGAGCAGACCGTTGTCAATTGTGGATACACAAGCCACTAGAGGTTTGACAGACAGACGGACAGCGTACACATTATATGTACACAGTATATATACTTCTTATTTTTAATTCTATGATGCCTGATTTTTATAAACAAACTGCAAAAAACAGGTTTATAATACCATTCTATGTTTATTGTGTATTTTATATGTTAGGTACCTATTCCTGCAAAATATAAAAATAGTAAAATTATACAAACATCTTTTGTTAAATAACGACAATAGTGCTTTTCTTCCATTCTTCTCAGCTAGATATATATTGTGAACGTGGCTATAAAATAAAATAATTTACCCAAGTAAATTGCTTAATATTAAAGTACAATGGATCAACGTAATCGATAGCAAAAAGAATGATCAAATTCTATTCTACGTTGATAATAATACCTACTTATCTGTTATACCTACTAACAACTAAATATTACAAGATTATAAAAGGCAAAATTATATAAACAGAATTATATTACACACTAAAGAACAATATTAATGACTGATAGACCAATCCCAAGTGCTACCCAGTTAGGTACTTATAAACTTTCGCACTTCGTACTCGCTGGTACATCGTAGTCGAAACTTCGAGAGAGATAAGTACCTTATATACTGTAAAATAATTCATATTATAAAACATCCGTTTAAAATTAAGACGGATGGGCCCGGCAGCCATAATTATAATTGCTTATTTTAATATTTCTACTGACTCCCTACTTCCTACATCTATATTTGTTTGTATTGGAAAGGCTCCTAAGCTACTAGATCGATTCGAAGATAGAAAAATGTCAAATTAATATATAACAAAAAATAAAATAAATACAATAACAAAAATATTACTAAAATAATATCTAAATTTTCTTCATAATCTCTTTCTGAGTAAATTTCGCAAAAAGAATGATACATTTTTTGTAAAATACTATGCCGAGGCTATACGCTAGTACTAACATAATTCCAAATTTTTTTTAGAATTATAAATTGTTGTTTATTTGGCTACTAAGTCATTTTTTTGTGTAGCCTACGTCTGGAAACGTTCATGGTTCAATGGTACGTTGCTCTTTATTGCTCTAAACAAGCGTAAACTTTAATACAAATTCAAGAAACTCCAATTTAAGCTATTAAGCGTTTGAAAATAAGAGGAAATGAAATTACGATACCAATACAAATGCCCCTTTCATTACTCCCTTGTCGTATTTCTTGGTATTATTTCTAAATTTACAAAGTAATTTTCACTTTAGGTACCGATAAAATCGAACGGTAATAAAGTAGGTACCTACTTGCCGCTATAAATGATATAATGTTGGTTTATTATATTGATGGGGTCATATATTAACTGATGATAATAAAGTAGCCGTTGCTAGAATATTATTATTATTTTATCTAAAAGACATATTGGTCCTACGAAATAATATATTATATCTACATACTAGAAAGGATTTTTTTTAAATTGCATATTTAAAAAAAAATCCTTTTAAGTTTCGCGAGCAACGTACAACTTTCGTATTGTTGGTGTTGTTGTGTTGGTCACACATGTCCCGAACATATTTTCCCAATTTCAAATAGAGCTAGGAGAAAAAGAAATAAAGTACATAGTATATTGAGTTTCTTTAAACTGATAAACAGGAAATATGTGCTCAGCAACTTTGTATTATTATAAAAACAATTAAGTAAAAAGTTTGCATTATAAATTTTGTGCGAAAAATGAAATCAACTGTTCTAAACACTTTCTCTTGTTATGGATTATAATGGAATGGTGCACCGCCTGAGCTAACGGTTTAAACTGGCGGGGCACCAGTGGAGGATAATGATAAGCATAAGATGAGCATGAGGTCAGGTCAGGATTTGTCACAATGATTTTCAGGAAGAACCACATAGAAGTCATACCAACACAACTAAAATTCGAAATTAGAATGTAAGCGTACATTCTATCTCAAATCCTATACGATTTTGCATAAAAAAATAGATATTAAATTTTGACTGTCTGATTGATTGCTTAGCTCTGAAATGGCTAGACCAATTTTGACGCGACCTTATTCTCAGATAGCTAATGTTACAACGAGTAACTTGGCCTAAGTTATTCCTTGTTACTTAGGTTAAGTTAATAACATTAGCTATCTTACTTTTATTTTAGAAATTATATTTAGTTTAATAAAAAAAAGTTAAATTCCACGCGTAACCAATAGTCCAAAAAGATCCTAGGTAACTGTAGTTTTAAGATAAAATTACTGTGTACAGAACCAACATAAATCAATGTTGCTCACTTTCTAAGCCATTAGAGCCAATTACTTGTCTTTTACCCTCAAAGAGAAGGTAGATGTTGGTAAATGATCAACATCTACCGAACCGATGGCCAGATAACTCGATTCTAGAACAGCCTTAAGCGAATTATAAGCGTATCCTTACACGCGTTTGGTCTTCGTAGAAAACTAAAGTAAACATTAATTTAATAATAGGAAATAAAATGATGCTTCAAAAATGTAATTCTATTAATATTTACTTTTATTTTTCTAACAATACAAATTCTTCAATTATCTGCTACAATTTACAGCTGCACAGGACTAAATTGGGCACTCCAAAACCTCGGAAGGACTTCTTGAGAGCCTGAAAGCCAAGTTCTGCCTAACTTCAACCTAAGCACCGTAGAGGTTTGAAGATCGGCTCAAAGCTACTCTGTGTTCTAATCTCAAAATTAATTTAGATAGACAAATAAAACTATTTATTTTATACTACCTTTATCTTATCTTTTTACCTATATATATTTTATTGTACAAGTATATATATGTATATATATACTTATAAAATAAAACTACAACAGAATTAATACATTACTAGTGTATAAAAGTGTATAATATCGTAAGTCCAATAACATTGGATCGGAATTCGTTTCCAGAGTATAACAACCAGGAAAACGATCGGAGGATTCCTACCAATAATACAAATCTGAAAATTTCTGAAAATATTTGTCACTAAATCACATTCCCCTCTTCGACAGAACAAATTTGAATAATTTATGCTACACAAACCGTCTTAAATTAACATATATAATACTTTTACTTAATCTAAATTTACATGCACAATGCCGTGGTATAATTAGCAGGTATTATATAGTATTTAAAATTAAAATAAAAGTAAGGAGATCCCCATTTACTCTTCTGTTTTAATTGCGGATGGAGTCACATGTAAACACTAGTAATCTATAAATATAACGAAGAGATTTCGATATTCAATAAGTACTCACAAATTATTCTTATATGGTTTTGTATTTTTCTTTTTTCTTACATAAAAACATTTGGCGAGTCGACAGTCCCCAAAAATACCTAGTCCCAGAAGGCATTACATTCATTTGGATATAACTCCAGTGCGCCTTCTGATCTCAGTATTCCGCAGTCTGTCTCGTAGGGAGATACCGGAATTATATATTTTATATAGTTGATGCTAATATATATATTATCAATGCTAGCATTCAAGTGACTAAAAAGTAAAAAATGTTTATGAGGGTGTTGATGATCAGACGTTTAACTTGCACAATGCAAAACATTTGTTTTTGTATTAATCTGGTTTTCTACGTATATTATGTACCTACATATTTACAAAAAGAAATAGCTAAATAGTACCAATAGGACCGTATCTTCTTAGTTTGGAACTAAATAACTCTGTGTGAACTATGAGTTAATTTTTTCTCTTACATTATTATTACTATTAAACACATTCCACAACTATTGAATTATTTAATTATATTGCCGTTTTAACTATTAAATTATTTGAATATATCTCTCGTAAATATAACAATTTCGTTGTATGGTCTGCTTGAAAAAAAAACAAGTAGGTACAGCTTAAAATATATTTTATATAACTAAAATGATAACATAAGAGATATTGCAATAAAATAACAATTACTTTCAACGTTTTAAAAGCAGTTGCAGTTAATAATATACTCTTCACTACACCAACAATATCAATATGATCCAATTTCTGCAACTATAGAAATAATCTTGTCTCTACTTCAAAAATAAGTTCTTCTATAAATTGTATTGTAGTTGTGTAATTATATGTATAGGTAGACATTGTAAAAACTATCTTCCTCGTGTTATAGTCCTCAGTCTGAACTATTTCAGTAAACTGTTTGCTTTGTAATTGTATGTTTCGGTTGAAGGGTCAAATAAGGCCATAAAATTATACCATACTACTTGTGTCCGCGGTTTTACACGCCTGACATTCATAGCATATGTGTTATTCTGATGTATAAGCTATATTACTTTTAAGTTTAATTTAAAATCAGTTCCGTTTTTGTGTGAAAGAGTAACCAATAGCCATTCACCCATACTCACAAACTTCGCGTTTATAATCCTCTTTGAAAGATGGAGGCGTAAGATCTAGGTCCGGTAGGCCAATGCAAGTATAATATTACAGGTGTCACATGATAACTTGATGTACATTATGTACACAGTGCTCTTAATATATATAGGCGACGGTTACGGTGAGCTGTCAATCTGTTTGCCATTAATAATAATAATAAATCTCTAGACAATTCACACAGCGCCATCTAGACCCAAGTTATTCTAGCTAAAGTTGTGTGTTTGTGGGTACTAAATAACTGATAAAAGTACATAAATATATATTTTTCGTAAATACATATATTATATATAGAAAACACCCAGACCGATACAAACAATCACACTCATTAATACTAATGTTCGTGCCGTGCGAAGAATCGATGCCGCGACCATCGGAAGTAAGGCGGTGTGCTAAACCACTAGACCACCGAGGCCGTCAAACTTCAAGTTAATTAAATAAAAGGTACTCACCGTCCACTCATTACATTGTACAGTATAGGGTTCACAGTCGCAGACACGTAGTACAAAGCACCAGCCACGTTGAATAGGTGTTCATTGATCACATGGAATTGTGGGAGATGTTCTCCATATATGAAGAACAGGCGTTGGACGTGGAAAGGCGCCCAACACACGAAAAACGCAATCACTACTGCCGCTGTTGGAAGAAAATCAACGAATTAATGCATATTATATATAGCAACACATTTTATACAGCACCTTTTGTCTGCCTTCATTAGACTCATTCTTATATATAGTAAAAAAAACTAAATTGAAATATCTTTATTCATATAGGTATATTACAGACTCTTATGACATGTCACTGATAAGAAACTCTGCTCTTATTCTTTTTAAATGAGCTTGTACAGGTTTAAAGAAATATAAATTATTTTTTAATTCAATTAAGGAGAATAAAGTACCACCATAAACCAGAATATAGTGTAGAAATGGATGTGACTCAGAAATAACGAACCGTTCAAACACTGAAATAATTTCTCAAATTGATGCAATTTTCGCAATTTATTTCAATATAACAAATCCGCTTTTCCTCTTTATAATATTAGTATTGACAAGTCCAAACTAAGCGACTGTGTGTACATTTTCTTATGTCTATATTAGTTCCTTTATTACGTATTTCTTGTAAAACGTCTGCAAAAAGAACTCTCAATTCAACGGTATTTTCTTGTGCAAATATAACGCTACATCTTTAAAATGATTTAATAAAATTCATTACTTATTCAAATATGTTTAGGCATAAGTTCTGTGCATAGTTACAATTAATATTAAAATAATTGCCGGCTGCAGAATCCGCAATTATTCCAACAAAAAGGCTGACGGAAAAATGTCAGATTACTGAAAAAAAAGAAGAGTGTAATTTAATAAATATTACTTGTGTTTTCCGCTCCTTTGAGACGATGTAACAAGATCGCTAAATCTCTAGGGGACTCTGTTTGATTAATCAAGAAAACAATCATTTGAATAATTCCTTTTTAGCCCCGGGGACAATGAAACTGGAGTACGCATTGCCTAATGTTAATCAATAACTGTCAATTGAAATATAGACGCAGATGGTAAAATTTGACAGCTAATCCTTTGTTATACAGACCTGCCTCTCAATGCTTGATAAGAGTTATCACGTGTTTATATAAAACATTGTTTGGTGTGCTCTGCTGGTTTACTACGTCATACGGGTCCAGAGGATTCAGCACGTATTTTTATTGTTTACAAAATCATTTGTTCATGTTTAGTATTGTAACGATGAAAATTTTTCATCAAGTGGGCCATCAGTTTGTTTGTCAAGTATAACAGCAAATATGGGACAATTTTAATCCCCCTAACACTTAGCATACAAATGTTGTGGACATTAAATGACTCTAATTTATTCTGTGTCTGCGGTAAGGCCTTTAACACAAAGTGAGTTTACTGGCCTTTCTCTATTTCTGGAACTAATATAGTTCGGAATTAACACATACGTCTAATGGCTTGAATAAATTATACATATTTATAGGATTTTGATTATAGTATAATATGAACTAGTCGGTAGCCGCGACTGCGTACATGTGAAATTTAACTTATTTTTATTAAAATAAATTAAACTGCTTTATAGCAGTTTAATTTATTTTAATAATACAACGATTTATTTTAATAATACAACGATTTCTGAACTAAACGTTGCCTAAGTTACTCGTTGTAACATTAGCTATCTGTGAGTGTTAGTCTCGTCATAATCGGTCTAAACATTTCAGAGATTAACAAACAGACAGTCAAAAACTTTTAATATATTTTTTTAATGTAAGTATCGTATATACTTAAATATGCATTTAGTGCAACGCTGTTAATTTGAAATTACAAATGGATACTTACAATTTTATTTATATACTATAATACCTACTTACTCGTATACCACTTTTTATAGTTTATTCCCGCCCCGAAAAATGAAAATGAAGATCAGAGGCTCAATAGCACTACGGATATTACTTCCACTTGATTGTTTTGAAGACAAAGTATATAACATATTATATATACATCTTGCCCATACTAAGAATTTAAATAATCTTACCCATACTAAGAATTTAAAGGTGCTTGCAACTGCAGTAGCATAGACATAGTAATCCACTTAGACGACTTTTTACACGGTCTCCCTTTCCAAATTAGGGTATGTATCTTTAAAAGAACTAAAAAATTTCTTATATTAAGTTTATATATAAGATTTACATTATAAACTGCTTCGGTGGTCTAGGGGTTTAGCACACCGCCTTATTTCAGATCGCGTGTTCGTTTCCTCGAATGGTACAAACATTTGTATTCATGAGTAATGCTTGTTTGTATCGGTCTGGGTGTTTCGTATGTGTTTTGTATGCATTTACAAAAAAGTAGCATGTATCAGTGGTCTCCCATAACACAAGCTCTGCTTAACGTAAGACTAAGTGGTGTTGCGGATTTTCCAAAGATATTTTTATTATTGCTAAAAGTAATTTATTTTATTGTTTATTGGTAACTATATAATGAAATAATATACTACAAAGCAAGCCCAAGCGATACTTCTCTGTAACAAAATAAAAATCTACAAACTTCTTGCAATTGTAGGCTGACAGACATGAGTGACTGATTTCTGTATATTATATGTGGGGAATAAATAATGAACGATTTACCTGTGGTACTAAGTAGTCTTCTGTTAGATCTGGATTCATAATAATGTTAGGTGGTTAGGTTAAAGTTAAAGTTAAAGGTTAGGAAGGTGTATTCCAAGTATTAACATTAGGAATGGTTTAAACCTCGACCATTTAGACCACGTTTCGTCCGAGTTTTAATAGATTTTTTGTTATAAGACCGCTAAAGTTTAGTTGTCGTAATCATTTAGTCATTTATCTAGATTCTCCATTAAGGCATAACTGTTCATGTGGAAGTAATTTGCATTCGACCCTTTCCATACCGTTTTTACCGGCTCATCGCATTTGAATATTGTCCCTGTCAAAAGTAAACCATCTTCCGAAAAAAGATCCGTACAATGAAGGAAAGATGAAATGTTCTGTTATTCAGTTTAGAACCTTATCGTTCAGCCTGGAACACAGCTTGTTAGGTGTTGCGGGAATATGAGAAAGGTAAGTATAGTAAAAGTACGTAGTCAAATTTGTACAAATTGAGTAATTTTTATTTTATCTATTTATTTATTTCAGACTACTAATGGACGATAGTATAGATAAATAACTTATAGACTAACATATATAGGACTGATATTGAAATTAATATTAAGATATATACATAAATTGTTCAAATAAATATACTTTTTTGTTGCATGTAACACAACAAATAAAGATAATTATACAAAAATGTGAGCAAGAGCGGGCTTATCTTTAAATAAATGTCTTCCAGTTAACCCAAGTTTAATTTAATGTAAATATTCTACCATTCTTTAATCATTCAACGCTACTACGTTTATCATTAGCGCAAGCGAAATCATTATTCCATTACCTATAAAATAAACTATAAGGAAGATATATGATAAACATACGAAACTGCTAAAATCATAATTCTCTGTATATATAGATTTTATGCTTATAAAGGTCAGAGTAAGCGAGGTCAACGTAAAGAAATGATTTATGAACAAAACTTATAACGAGATATTGACTTATTAGGAAGTTAAAGCTACAGAAACAACCAGTTGAAATCATCCATTTCCACCAATTATTGCCAAAACTTGTGTAACTTACGAGTTTTGAGAAGGGATAACAGAAATATAAGATACTTTCTAAGAATCTAACTCACAAACAACGAAATTTTAATGATCAAAGTGATTCTGTGGTTGACAATTGAACTTAGGGTTTAAAAGCAGATATCAGAAGTTGGTTTAAACTCAAATAATAAATACTCAAAGGAAGAATATTTCATATATTTAACTATCATACACAGTTATGTAGATAAAAAATACTAGGTATAGACAAGGAAATCTGAATAAATATATATATAACACATATAGAGGTAACGCTTACTTACTACTTCCCTACCGATGGCCCATTAGCTTCTTTATTATTCGAATTACATACAATAAAATATACTACTATATTTGTTTTGTTTTATATAGTTTATACAATGTTTTTTTTGTGGAAATAAAAATTATTATTATTATTTTTATACTCCATCAGCCACGTGGTAATTTGCCATAAAAAAGCCTGACTTTGTCATTAACCTGTCTCACGTTTATAGTACAGTATATTGGAGAGAACTAACTTTCGTGGCACAGGTTTGTCTATTTCGAAAGTTAGGACTTAATGTGTAAAATTGTATTAATATATTTGAATAAAGATTATTATTATTCCACAGCAAGCATGAACCGTCTAGGCAGATTCGTCATCATCTAATATTCATTAGCTACTAATATCACTAACGATAGAGCAAGAATAAAGCTGCGTGTAATGTAGGTACCAGCAAACACTCTTAGTCTTAGTGTAAACAACTTGAAATCTATTCTTGTACCACGTGACTTGCGCAGTAAGAATTATACGTAGAAATATGATCACCACACTCTTCATTGTTTATGGTTCTCTTCCCACCAATATATGGACATAGATAAATGAAGGTCATAATGTAAAGACCAAGTCATAAAACTTCACAATTAAGCAACAAGCTCCCTGTATGAGGGTTTAAGTGATACATAGAAATTATGCATTTAATAATAAATATATGTGCAAAGTGATTTATAACTGCAACTGTTGACGTTTAGAATCTATGCTTAAGTTCGAAGGCACGTAACTCTATAGTTCGGGGAAATGGGAAAAATACCGCGGGAATTTCACTATTCTTAGTCATGACCAATGTTACTGTATAGGTCAGGACACGGTTACCACTTTCATTCTGACTACCAGCTATTTTTTTTCTAAAACCTACTAGGTAAAAAACATTGTTTTTATTCCATTTTTTTAAATAAAAACTGTCGAGATAGACATAAAAATACAAGCTAAATCGAAAAGATTTTCCTTATTTATTGAAAGAATTATATTTAATTTAATTATTTCATCAATTTGTTCCCAAAATCTCTTCGAACAACATTATTATTTTTCCATCGTGAACTCCGATGGAATTGATATGATTTCAAACTGGATATGATCAGCGAGAGTGATATATTTTGAAATTGAATTGCAAATTGGCAAAGTTGAACAT